ATATACATATATATTTATATTTATTTATTTATTTATTTGTAAATATATTGTCATATAGATATTTATATGTAATGATACACATGTATATTTAAACACACACACACACACACACACACACACACACACACACACACACATATATATATATAAATGCATGTATATATATGTATACATATATGCATGTATATATCAATATATATATATATATATATATATATATATATATATATATATATATATATATATATATATATATATATATATATATATGTATATATATATATATATATGTATATGTGTATATATATATATATATATATATATATATATATATATATATATATATATATATATATATATATATATATATATATATATATATAATATATGCATGTAATGATGATTATGTGTACAGATATATTGATCATATTGCATATAGCACTGTTTCTTATGAAGATTTGAATTTTTCAGAATATTGTGATTGAGACGACAATATCTCCAGATTATTTCACAGTAGAGTATGTGTCCAAGAATGGCTCCTATGTATATGGTGTCCCAATCAAGACTGGAAAAACTGAAGTTCAGGTATGTGGAACATTTTTGTATGACTACTAGTTATAGTTCTTTCATGAAAGGAATCAGTTAGAATTCTGATTATCCAGCAAAGTTGTAGTTGCCTAATTATGATTACACAGGATTTAATTTGCCGTTTTGACCCTGATGCTGTATGTGGGTATGTGTATTGCCCACTGCAGAATTTGTCACAGATGTCTCAGCAAGTGCCCAGCCTCCAAGGGGTCAATGAGTAGCCCAATATGACCTCGTCTGATTTCTCCATTCAATGAATTTTGGGAATTTTTTATGCTAGAGCTGCTAAGATCAATACTGTTATTATTATTAGCTTCATAATTATTTTATGTTATTGAAATACTAAGACCAATAGAAAATGAAAAGAATCTTTCCAAATATCAAAGGACTAGTAATTATTTAGTATTTTATTTACAATTATATATATTATTTATCAGTGATAGTTATCCAGTATGTTACATGTTAGTTACCTTCAGATGGTTAGATATACATATTATATGCCACATCTATGTAAAATGCTCTTTAATATGCTGCACACCTCTGAATGTCACTTATTGCTAATTGATCATAAAGGGTTTTGAGGGTTGAGTAATTACTTCTGGCAACAGGAGAGCAATAAATAGGAATGTGGTTTCATCAGACAAGAATCATATTGTATTTCTGTTTACTGCAGAGTAGGTTTTTACTTTGCATCCCTTATTAACCCATTGCTACCGGGGAAAATGTGCCTAGTTTCTATATTTTTAGTGAAACGTCTGCCCATAGATGGCTCTGTTAGTGCCTGATTTGAAATGGTGGGAAAAACGTATTTTTAACTAGTGACATGAATATTGATGGTGTTATTTTTATTATAAACATTATAAATTTTATAAAGTTTTTTAACATTAGTAACAGCAAAATAAGATAACGTAGAATATTTTGTAAATCAATGAAAAGGGTTAATGGGCGAGACAGGCAGTACTCGTAACTGGCTCATTGGTGATTTAGTACAAGTGTAGCCATCTATGTGTAAAAACAATCCAACAAGTAATCTCACAGTGGGCATGGCATGGCATGCCCGTCGGCAATGGGTTAAAGGAGTCAAAAAGCAAACAGCTTATCCTGAACTTTATATGAATACACATTATACCTAAATCACTGTAACTTTTGCATTTCCATATCTTTCTCTTAATAAACTTAGAGTTTGTACATTTTATAGCACCAGTATAATTCATTTGAAAATCGGTAAATAACCAATTTAAAAACATTTGCAATATCAGTTATTTTGATTTAATGGCAAGGGCCATATATTTCAGGGTTCAGTTGGATATGGGATTATAATTTTTCAACCATAGTCTCTCTCTCTCTCTCTCTCTCTCTCTCTCTTTTTTTTTTTTTTTTTCTTTTTCTTTCTTTTTTCTTTTCTTTTTATGTGCATGAATTTTTCAAGGAAGTCAGACAGCAGGGAACAAAAAGAGTTTTAATGCTTGTAGGTAAAAACTAGTTTTTAATATTACAGTTGTTCACTCAAGTCTGTTAGCTGGGTCCACACAAATCTTGACTGTGATAGGTGGATGCAAACTGAGAGAGGTTGGGCTTGGAATGGTGACTCCCTTTTGGTTTCAGACAGAAATGAAATTTTTTTTTCTGGGGGAGGTCTGGCATGTCTTATTCCCCTGGATCTGTCTTTACTAGGCTCTGCTCCAGTTTCCCACCTTTAGTTGAGTTGCCAGTTCTTGATCATCTGATATTTTTCTCAGAGACAAAGGGAGATAAAAAGGTGGTATAACATTTAATCCCTTGATGACAGGTGACTCCGATAGTCGTGAAAACAAACCGCTCGAAAGCTGGCGTGCGGCTGTATGCTGCGGCGGCGAGCCAGTGATTCGGACTGATGTACCGAACTCATGCGCTCAAAGCCGGCGCGCCGCCATTGTTTGCCAGGGCATAGAGTTTTTTTTTTTTTTTTTTTTTTTTCCTGCTTCTTCTTCTTCTTCTTCTTCTTCTTCTTCTTCTTCTTCTTCTTCTTCTTCTTCTTCTTCTTCTTCTTCTTCTTCTTCTTCTTCACCAGTCACCATTGGGTTAAGGAATAATGTGTAAATGGTATTGTATATTCCAAAATTTAGTGACCAATTTAAGCTGAATAGTTTTAAAAATGATAAGCTGATAAACTGAATTGGGGGGTGCTTTGGAAGCTAGGAGTTTAGGAAGGAAAATTAAAATTTAATTTATATGTTAAACTTATATAAATATGGTCTAGTATGATGGAAAAATGTATAAACTAAAGAAATATATCCAGTATTTTATAGTATTTCAGTGTAGGAAAATGTCATGGCCATTTTTTGAAGATAGCCCCTAAAATATTTTTTATGGGTAAATCTCTAAGGGGCACCTGACTGTCAAGGATGGGCCTAGCAAGTCTTAACTCCTTGAATTCAATTGTTTCATGGCAATCAGGTGGCCCAAAATCCAGTCATTAGGCTTATGTGAGCAGCCGCTCTTTCGGGTGCTTGTAGGCCAGGCACACATGAATACTCATGTGTGTTGACAAGCCTCCCTTTTGCAATATTATTTTCTTTTTTTATACAGAAGCATTTCCAGCTTTTTTGCCATTTTCCAATGTCCATATTTGCCATTTGATTTGCATTATCCAGATGGTAACAGACTCTTTTCTTTGCACATACTCCATATCATCTCTCTGGGTAATATATAAAGCTATGCAAGAAGAAATGAAATATTTAACGCTTTGTTATTTGTGTCATTAAAAAAAAAAATTGTAATGAAATGGCATCCTCCATGGAGCTGGCACTCTTCTTGTCATGGCTCATGGTCATTACATTCCACACTTGTTTATCAATGGGATTAATGCAAAAACTACTTTCTAAATGCCAGATGAGTCTGTCCTGTCATCCCAGCCTTCAGCGTAAATGCTCATGACGGCGTGGTTGTGTCACCTGGCCAACAACCAGACTTTCCCATGACAGCATGTTCACATCACCTGCGCCTCAACCCAATTTATTTAATGACATGATAGTCAGATCATCTGGATCATAGGGATTAGGGAAGGTTTTGAGGACTGGAATATCTGAAAAATTCATCTATCTTAAATTTCCACCAAATTGTTTTCAGCCAATTTTTAGATGCCACATGTCACAGCATGTTGTAAATCCCCTTTTTTCATGCAAGGTATATTCAGGAAAAGAAGTGATCCCATCATTGCTTATAAAACATGGGGTGATTGATATTATTATGAATATTATTATTATTATTATTATTGTGTTTTTATTATTATTTATTGATTTTATATTTTTTAAGCATTTGTCTTATATGCAGTTAAATACAATAAATGGTAGCCTGAAAGTAAGGAAATAACTGATTTTCATAAACCTTAAAAGATCTGTCTACCATGACTGTGGCTTGCTAATATCTGTGTAGCCAGTCCCGTTTGCCAATATTGTGCAAGGCCTATCAAAAACTGATAGGCTTTTTTTCCAGTTACTTTTTTATTCTCTATGACCATTTTGTAGTGTCAACTAATATACCTGGTACTATTGGGTAAGTTTCTTCCCACCACACCCAAGATGTCCTCATATTTCCTGCCCTGTTGGCTCTTTTCTCCTCAGTCATACAGTCATGTTTCCTACCTCTTCCTTCTTGTGAATGGAATGTAGTGAATGTAAAGTAGTAAATCTGGTACTTTATGGCAGAATCAGTAATTGTGGGGAATATCATTACCTTTTTACTTTTTCATATCTATATATGTATAGATACTTCCAAATACACATTTTACTGTTCTGTTTGATGAAAATATATGTTCTATTTACATATTTGTGGTAATTTATCCTGCTTTTCATTCATACATAAGGGGTGACTACAATAACTTTTTCAACTGTTCAGCTGCATTTGTGTTGTGAATTGCAGTAATGGTACACATATGATGGCTAATGGTTTAGCATTTTTTGTTGTGTTATTTCCTTATCTGTGCTCTCAGTGTTACTTGGACTTTGTTCTTCTTGAATCTTTTTACTTTTTATTTAGACATTACACTTTTAATTCACAGGCTACACTCTCAGCAGTGGAGGTTGGCAGCAGCATACTGGAGATAACGCCACCACTTAAAACAAGTGAAGATTTGGAGATATTTGACCCTTTGTCTGTTATTCCCCCTCGCACAGTCTTGCCATGGGACCCAGTGACTAAACCAATGTATAGTGTCAATCTTACTGTAAGTGCACTCATTCTTCTGTTTTATTACCTGTTGTGTGTTAATTGTGCTGATTTTGGTTGCTACATTTTTTTCTTTTAATAATAAAAAGTAATACTTCCAAAAGTTCATTATTTTTAGTGATAGTGAATGTAATGTTGAGCAAGTTTTTGGTTCTTCATGATGATTTGTTTCTATATGTAGTTAGTAGAATTCATTAAGTATAGTTCATCTTTTTTTTACTATTTTGTACCATGCTTTGTGTATCCCCAAGGCTGTTGGTGGTTCTGGATCACTGTCATGGAGCAGCAGCAATGGAGATATTGTTGGAGTTTCTCAGACTGGGGTTTGTAAGACCAAAGCCCAGGGTTCAGTCACTGTCACAGCTGTTATGATGCTTAACACACACAACAAGGACTCTGCTGAGGTAAGAATTCCTTTCACCAGCCATTGTTATTTAAGAAACTGTCATGTGAAGTCAAAATTTTCTTTGCAATTTTGCTTGAAGAGATGCATGAAAATAACTTTTTAAATATTTGAAATATATAGTTTTGGAATTATTTTTCCTAACTTTCACATTCCTCCCTTTACCCTTCCTTTCCATTCTATCTATTTCCTTCTTCAAGTTTTCACTTTCACATCATCTTCCATCCAACCTTTCATAGCAGGCTAGAGTGTATATTGTAACTTTACACAAACACACATTTTTAACAAATTTAGCATACACAAACTTGGGCTACATTCACTAAGCAAAATGCTGGTGAGAGGTACCAGATAATGCTTACACACCTTATTGACCACCCTTACACTTGTGTAAGCCTGCGAAACATAATAGCACATCAGCTGCTCTTGTCTTTGCAACCACTGTGGGGAGTTATGTCTCTCTCTCTCTCTCTCTCTTTCTTTTTTTTCACTCTTTCTCTTTCTTTCACTCTCCTTTCCCCCCCCCCCCCCTCTCTCTCTCTCTCTCTCTCTCTCTCTCTCTCTCTCTCTCTCTCTCTCTCTCTCTCTCTCTCTCTCTCTCTCTCTCTCTCTCTCTCTCTCTCTCTCTCTCTCCCTCTCTCTCCCCTCTCTCCCCCCCCATCACCCCGCTCTCCTCTCTCTCTCCCTCCCTCCTTCCTTCCTCTTCCTCTTCTTCCTCTTCCACTTCTGTTCCCACCGTCTCTTGCTCTTCTCATCCTTTTCCTCTTTCTCTTCCTCTCCCTCTCCCTCTCCCTCTCCCTCTCCCTCTCCCTCTTCCTCTTCATCATCATCATATCATCATCATAATTGAGTATCTTCCACCAGATCCACATTGTTGAAGCCTTGGGTTTAAGTCTTCTTGAAGGTGTGGTTGAAGTGGAAGTAGACACTCCACTTCCTCTCCATGTCGCTTCATTCACCCAGTGGGACAATACCCAAGTCCCATTCACAGTCTGTCATCAGTTGCCATTCAAGGTGGAACCTTCAGAAGTTTCATTTGCTGCTCTGCCTGGTTAGTTTTACTATCATATCTTCAGTCATCATTATCATTAGCCCGTTAAGTGTTCCAGCAATATGATTTTTTTATTTAATAGATAGTTGAACTACAGAGTTTAAGCAGAAGAAGTTAACTTTTACTTTTCCGTCAATCACCCATGTTTATTTGATGGCAGTTATATAAAACTTCACTTCTTTCAAGCTCAGATGGGCAGGCTGAAAAAATCAGCTTTTTAATAATACATACACTGGTAGTGAGTAGCCAGAGTGAGATCTTCCTCACCGTTACTGTCACCTAAGGTGCAATCACATTACAAATGATGTAGTAGCCTTATATTTTATTTTATTTTATTATTATTGTTATTTTTTTAATCTCTATTATTTATCATACTAATTATCTTTCCATGAATGTGGACTACTGTTGTGATGAAAGTATGTACACTGTGGTTGTGACGTGACTGCTCATATTCAAACCTACCAAGACCTCACTCTGCATGTTCTCACTTGCCCTGTTTTACTTTACTTTCTATTACATTTTCAAATACTGTATACAAGATGGATATGCAGATAAAAACTTTTATAAGAAGTACAGGTCACTGACATTAATCTATATCCAGGAACAAGTAATACCATCTTTTTTTTTTTTTTTTTATTATTATTATTATCATTATTATTATTATTATTATCCTTACACGTACATTACTCCACAAATGCTCAGCCACCAAGGAGTCAATTAGTATGCCTGTGTGACCTCACATGATTTCCCTCTTTCTTGATTTTTTTCACATTCTATTAGGATAAATACCATTTATTACTATTATTATTATTATTATTATTGTTATAGACATTAATGTTATTATAATGTTATTAAGAATACTGCTTGCAATAAAAATAAACAATATTTCTAAAACTCAGTATTATAACAGATTAGATAGGTAGGACTAGTAATTGACTCTTTGGTAACTAAGCACTTGTGGAGCCATCTAGCTGTAAAGATAATTAATAAACTAAACTCACAGTGGACATGGCATGTACACTCGCTAAAAAAGTATCTTTATATGAGAGTAGATGAAACCAAAACGATCACAAGGTGCTGATTCAGTAATGTTGGTAAGGATAAGTCCGATATGCGTGGTGTCCAGCCACAGCAGTAACCTCCAGGCGACAATTGCAACTTCTCGCTCCTGGACGGGGTGCGAACCTCCGACCCTTCAGATGACAGGCAGACATGTTACCACTGTACTAGCCCAGAGGCTGAAATGTTGGTACTTGTTGTGTTCAAAGCTCGGAACAAATGAAGCTTCATAATGTGTTCAAATAGTGTTTCGGAGTTGATATGGCTAGGGCCTCGTATCATGGCAATATTAGCAATGGAGACCTCATAGACCATTTGTATCACCATAATTACACTTGACTGTGAGGGACTATCAGAAAGTAAAATATCAAGATTGGGTATTTCAAAGTCAACTGTGTCTCTGTGGATCCAGCAACCCCAAGCAACTGGAACACCAGAGACAAGGCCAGAAGTGGGCACCCTAGATGCACGACAGAAGAAGATGATCAAGTAAATGTCAAACACTATAAATCAATGTACTATATGAAAGACAATTGGAAGCTTGCATTGAAATGCATGAATATCATGAGCTAATCAAAACCATTTGATACTCATTAGCAATACCCCTTACATTTAACTGGGTTTGAGAAGGGTTTGTGACTAGTAGTTCGTTGTCCAATATGATGAGTCGTTTTCTTCTTAGTTATTTATTTTCATTTTTATGATTACTTTTTTTTTTTAACAATCCATAACTACTGCAAGGGATGCAAACCCCTTTTGTTCTGTTGGCAACAGCACATAGACTGTCAGAAATCACTGGGCAGTTTGAACAAATGCACAGCAGTGGTGTCAGGGAGTTGACGGATGGTAGGCCCAGCATATTTATGGGTATGCCTATGTGGAAAACTTGTATGAGATGTTTCTACTGTCAGTAAGGGCCATGGTGTTTCCCAAGTTGGAGCTATTTTACCTTGTCCAAGATAGCACCCCCATCCATGAGCAGTGTCATGAAGGCGGGATTTTGGCAACACCCCAATATTACGCTGTGCCACATCCACCTAAATTACTAGATCTCAGTCTCATTGAGAATGTTTGGGCTGCCATGGGCAGAGACGTCCCCCGAGATCATACCTGCCCAAGTAATTATGGCATAGGAGTGATTGTGCTTTGTAGACAGATGCCAGTTAATGTGAAGCCGTTAGTGACATCCATGCCACAGTCATGCCAGCATTCGCCAAGCTTGTGGCAGTAACAGGAAATATTAACCCATTTGCCCCAGATTTATGTTCTGTCCCTTGTAGTTTTTGATGAATTTTGTTCCATACATATGGCTCCACATGTGCTCAGCCAGCAAGGAGTCTATCAGTAGGCCCTGATTTTCCCATTCCCTGAATTGGCGGGAAAATGTGTTTTTTCTTATTAATACCATTGCTATCGTTACTGTTATTATTGTTATTGATGTTATGATTATTAACCCATTTGCCCCACATGGCAAGAATAGATGCCATGCCCACTTTGATACACCTTTATTTATTGTATTTACACATAGATGGCTCCACAAGTTCTTAATCACTAAATAGCCAGTTATCAAGAACTACCTATTTCAACTGTTTACCCTTTTCCTTCATTTTAGGAAAAGGTTTTTTGTATCATTTCATTGTCTAAAATATTCTAATGACAATTTAATAATCATAACATCAATAACAATAATAATAGTATCAATAGCAATGGTATTAATTTTCCCGCCAATTCAATGAATGGGAAAATCAGGATCAGTAACTAGGGCCTACTGATAGACTCCTTGCCAGCTGAGCACATGTGGAGACATCTATATGTAACCAAATTTACCAAAAACTACAGGGGACAGAACATAAATCCGGGGCGAATGGGTTAAATTGTCATTAGAATATTTTAGACAATGATATGATACAAAAGACCCTTTCCTAAAGTGAAGGAAAAAGATAGGTGGATAGGTGAGATAGGTAGTTCTGATAACTGGCTATTTAGTGATAAAGAACTTAATAAACATGTATTACAGTGGGAATGGCATGTATTTTTGCCACATGGGGCAAATGGGTTAATAGTATCATACATTCCAAACCCAAAGATTTTGAAATGTAGCTAGGGAAGTGAACAAATTTTTTTATAAAATTAGTTACTGTAGGGGCATGTTAAGCTATAAATGGATCTATAAAAGTGTTATTAGTTTAAAAGGTAAATTTTTTTTCCAACCATTTTTTTGTATCATAATGCTAAGGCAGAAAGAGTAAAGATCCCTTTTTAGTGACTACATACCATCTCCATGAGTCAATGTAGTATTTAAAACGCATATTGTTTATCAGAGATTTTATTTGAAGCAATTTTTAGTCAATAGCTATACCATCAATTCTAACAAATATAGTAAATAGCTTGTGATCAGTGGGCACACTTATCAGGAGATCACCCAAGAGGGGATCATAGTCATTGTGTACACTTGGAAAAAAAAAAAAAAAAAAAAAAAAAAATCCATAATCAATAACAATTCCTCTTGTCCAGTCAAGAAGCTGTACTGCTTGTTCAGTGATGAGAGCAGGAACATTGATCAGTCACTGAGTAGCAACAACCAGTAATGTACAGCAGTGCCAAGTGCACAGCCTATCTAATTTTTAATAATCAATGCACCAAATTTTATGTACAATAGTGAACTTTGGTGTATATTATTAGAGGGATATTAACTTTTTGAGTATGCATTATAGCAGTGTGATTGGCTCAAGCAGAGTACAGTAAGGTAATAGGGTTGATATTGTGTGGCCGAAAGTATCCAATATATCAGAGGATGATACGTGTCTCAGTCATGATGAGAAAGTTGCACTAATTTTTGACAGGGCTTTTATAATTGTGGCGAACAGGATTGTGCAGATGTTGTGCAATTAGCCACGATCATGGCAAATAGGGCTTTAGAAGTTAAAGGATATTTGTTGAGGATGCATGATATATGAATGGGAAGATATTTTGTTTGTGGTTTTACAACAAATATACTGCAGCTAATTTGATTGTGATTTAGTTCAGATTTAATTCTGTATAAGATTTCTGCATAGAAACATGTTAATTGAGCTTGGATTTTTTATATAATTAAGTTGAAACTCTTATAATGAAATTAGCATTGGTAGTGTGTTAAGACATTGGTTCACAAGATAGTACTGGGATGACATTCATCTGCATTATATCTATTCCAAGACTGTCATAAATGTAGGCCTATAGAAAATTGATGGAGATTACTTCCTGATTTTTTTAGTTTGTTGTTTATATTATTATTCATTTCATTATTATTATTATTATTATTATTATTATTATTATTATTATTATAACCTGTGGCCCAGATTAATTTTTTTGTTTTGCTTGATGTTTACAGATGTGAAAACTCCCAGTGTCAACAATTCTTGTGCTGTTGTAGAAGTTGTTGGTAAAACTCCAGGCTTTTCCAAAGTAAAGGTCTCATATGAAAGTTCCAAGGGGGAACTGGCAGCTTCAGCAGATGTTGCAGCCTTTAGGTAAGGTGAATTTGTTTATTTTTATTTAGTAATTATTTACCATTACAATCTGGATTTTAGCTTGAGGGTTGTATGATGTGAATGTGGTGTCATGGGAAAATCTGGATGCAGGCTGGGTAATGCAAACTTGCTGTCATGAGCATTACTTGTTGGCAAAAAACAGCTGTGTAGGAATCTTTTACTTTTGTCGCCATGATGGAAGTGAGTAGCAAAGGAATGTTGTAAGCAGTACCAGATAGTTCTGTAAGCTGCCTTAACCCATTGCCGCCGAGGAAAATTCTGCTAGTCCTGATTTCACCTTTCCTTGAATTGGCGGGAAAAGACATATTCTTACTAGTGCTATAAATATAGTTGGTGTTATTTTTAACAGCAAATTAGGATAACATTAAATATTTTCGTAAATTGATGAAAAGGGTGAACAGGCGAGACAGGCAGTACTCGTAATTGGCTCATTGGTGACTTAGTACAAGTGTAGCCATCTATGTGTAAAAACAATCCAACAAGTCGACTCACAATGGAGATGGCATGTACGTACATGCCATCCCCGGCGGCAATGGGTTAACCCAATGTCAGTGGGGTTATTTGCTGTCCCCTTTAGATTTTAGTGAGTTTTGTTACATACAGATGGCTCCACGTGTGCTCAGCAGCAAGGAGTCTATCAATTGGCCCAGGGGACCGATCCTGATTTCCCCATTCCTTGAATTGACGGAAAAATGTGTTTTTCTTTCCAATGCTTTTAATATTGACATTGCTATCATTCTTATTGATACCATAATTTTTAATTTGTTATTAAAATATTAATAACATCAAAGACAATAAAAAAATAGAAGTGAAGCTTGGTAACTAAGCACTTGTAGAACCATCTATGTGTAAAGACAGTAGATAAAACCTTATTACAGTGGACATGGCATTGTAGTCTTACCACCCATGCTTATTGGTTTTAGCATTCTTGTAGAGTTTGCTTATTCTTTTGTTGGCAGTTTTTGTGATATGTATTTGTAATAATTTTTTGCCTTTTTCCATTTTGTCCTTATTTGCCATTTGATTTGCATTATCCAGATGTTAATAGAAAAGGGAAAATAAAAATAGGTAATGCCTTTGTATTTGTGTCATTTAAGATTTTTTTTCAGTAATATTCAGTTTTCCGTAATTTAACATGTATTGCCGGTCATGGCACCAGGAATAATGATACTGATTATGGAAATGGCGTCCTCCATGGAACTGGCGCTCTTCCAGTCACTGTTCATGGACATTACATTCCACACTCATACATGGATGGGAATAATACAAAATTACCAAATGAGTCTAATCAACCTCCCAAGAGTCTGTACACTCTTGGCAATTCTTTCTCATCACCCCAGCCTTCAGCTGAAACACTCACAACGGCAGGTGTCTCCCTTCCTGCGGCCAGATTTTTCTGTGACAGCATGTTCACATCACCCACCCCTTGAGTCAGATTTTTGCATGACCTGATGGTCACATCATCCCCGGATCGAAGGGGTTAATGTGTGATTTTTTATTTGCGTTTTTTATATCTGTAATACAAAGCAAGTGACTTATCAGGGAAATAGTCTAGTACTGTTTTAACTTGCAGCAAAAATATACATTCATGGTACACTTCCTTCCAGGCCTCTTCGTCCAACTAATCCAGCTTCAGGGGAGACTGTTCTGGCATTAGGATCCTCAA